ATTATCCTAAGTCTCCGAGCGGCCTGGAGTTCGGCCGACCGTGTGGGGCTAATGCGAGCGGCGATTAAAAAAAAATAAAAAAAAAAGAACATCACGTCTAGATAGAAAGTTTAGCGGAGATGAATGAGATATTCGCTGGCATCGCACAAGAGAGCGAAAGAAGTTTTTCTGTTCATACATCAAGGGTAGGGCAGGACGATTTCGTCTCAGTCTATACCATCATTCTCGACAGATAACATCGATGATTTCTTTTTCTTGACATTACTACTTGTCATGAGAAATGACAACCGGCAATGGGCATATGGAATGGGCTATAGGTGAACTGAACAAACCAGTCTAGAACGAGGTAAAGAGAGCAGTCGATTTACTGAATGAGTGCAAGACCCATGTGTAGAAACACGTGGCAGAATGCTTAATAGGCGCTGATACTATTCCCGGTTCGTGGCACTATTCTGCATACAGTGATTTCCTCCATATTGGAGCCTGTTTGTGACTCGAACATCAAAGCCCGCAAACCCGCTGAATCACTGGCTAAAACCATGTAAAAAGAGCAATTTCCAGAAGTTTTTTGCTCGGTACTCAAACTTTTCGCTAAAGCAGCATCCTGTTTACCTCCGTAGGGATGAAGCAGTCTAGCACGGTACACGGCATTTCTAGTATCCGTGTCAGGCAGAAAGATCATCACTTTAGTTTACGCCCTTATTTGACAACGAATGAGAATACCAAGGCCGCGAGAGAGGCCGCAGGTATGATGTTACAGTTTAATAAGAAACAAGGTTAATATAATTTCGAGGCCTAGACCAACTTTCGAACTCTCATACACCGTCTAGGGAGGAGCGTGCTAGAAACCAGCAAGAATATCTCACTGATGTTGTCTGGAAGGAAAGTTCAGCTGACTCAATCACTGTAGCTATTGACCAGGCGAAGACATTTAAAGGCCAGCATTCACCTGCAAAAACGGAAACAGTTCGTATCGCTACAACCTGGTTTTGTATCTCATCACAACAGACATATTTCATTATAGAACCCTCAAGAACTTCTATTTAAAGATTGTTTAACTCCAAAGCCGAGCATCACAATGCGTCTATCAGCGATCTTCCTCGTTGCAGCTCAAGTTGCCACCATCGTTGCACAAGCTTCATGCTTTTGCGAATGCAACCGAACTCCCGATGCCTCTGGCTGCGCCGCACTCCCGCGACCAGCAAGCGGAAACTGCGCCGAGGTGTGCAACCCGCATGGAAGATGCCCGAACTGGGTTACATGTGGCTGAAGTTGTGAGCCATGACAGTAAGCTTTTCCTCTCTCATCGTTTTTGAGCCATGATGTTCAAGCTGCTCGGATGCGCTATTCATTGGGACCTAACAAAAAAGCAGAACGTTGTCCAGCTAGCAATTATTGGCTGTAGCACCATCTGTTTGAGTTTGATTTTGATTTGATCAAATCCTACTCGGTTTTGGCTGCTTTAGTTAGTGCGATGCTTGGAGGATGGTGGGGTTTGGCCGATAGCTGTAGCACTCCAAGGTAGTTACCAATCCGTAGTGCCCTACTTTGCCGACGCAAAACAATGACTAGCTGTCTCGAAGATCCCCGTGTTTGACCTCTACATCATCTACCACTGTCGGCAGCCAAGTTACCGTGACAGTTTACAGTACTTATGATCTTCTCTTTATACTTAGCTTTGTTCGGCTTGCGATTCGATTGTATGTCGTCCAAGGATTCTGAATTTATAAATCCGATCACTGTAGTATCATTGTCATACTCATTTACACTCATTTATTATGACGTTGAAATTATATGGTTCTGACAAGGCTCCAAGATGCTAGCATTAAAGCTATGAAGACTTGGCATTCTTGTAGCAAGGTATATTTCGACATTGTTTATCGATTTGATCCAAAACTGTCTAAGATACTCTGACTATTGTCCGGTTGTCTCGTTCTTTTGACGCGGTAGATCTGTCATGAAGTCAACAGCGATGCCCTACCATCTTACTGTGAGAATTTAAGGGCTTGCAATAGACCATGATATGGAAGTCTGGTGACTTTCATCGTGCGCACGATTGGCTATTGCGTCCGTTCCACCCAACGCCTGGCTCATCCCCGGCCACAAACAGTTTTTGCAGAGGACTTCTATCATTGCTCTTCCGGGGTGACCTGCCGCAGGATAATCATAGTAAGAACGCAGCAGCCGGAGGCGTAGTTTATTGTCGTACAGGACGAAAAGCCGGTCCTTAACAAATACCCGGCCCTCTCGTTCTGACAAGCTGGTAACGGGTACCTTCAGTTACGATAAATCTGGCGGTAACCATTTCCCGTCTTCATTGTCAAGTTTTTCGTAACTTCGTAGTAGAAAGTTTGTTCCCCACCTGCTTCCAGGCGAGATTAGGCAAATATGAAAAGGCCCACGCACCTGAGAACGGTCTTGTTATGCCATCACAGGACTTACCACGCATGACCTAGCACGGGCCTATTGTAGATGAGTAAGATATGTGTGATACACCCCGTTGTTAGACCCAGAATGGTCTGTCGTTTAGGTAAACTTTAAGCTAAATTTCCAACTCCAGGTCATGAGTAAGTGAGGATTCGTATTAAACCCCGTAAGTAGCAAGCTATTTAAAGTCTCTCATATTAAGCGAAGAAAATACCTAAGCAGGTAGCAGTCTTCTACTAACAAGCCGGGGACCCGGTCTGTCGATCTTTGAGCATGCAATCTTATTCACAGTGTCTTTCCTATTCAATTTTGGTAAAGAAAGTAATTAGGAAGAGAACCAGAATCGCAATGGAATTTTGAGAAGACCTTTAAAGAACAGTAAGTCTCCAACTCCGTCAGGTCATAGGGATTGTATTGCTAACATACGGTAGTCTATTGAAGCGTATTAATGATTAGTTTTGGAAAAGTTTGAGACTCTCACCACATATTCAACCTTATTTCCTTCGACATTCATAACTTCTCTACACCCCAGTTTATAAGCCTCAAAAATGTTGTGCTCAAAGGCCCTCGCTGTTGTGGGTTTATATGCCACGATTGCGTCAGCAGCGTCTTGCCGGACACAGAGCTACCGAGGCACTGTGTACAAGAAAGGCTCGGCTGCTGAGTGTACTGCATTGGCGAACGCTGTCTGTCAGGCTGGCCAGAGTCAGGAAAAGCTGCGATACAGTTACGATGGGGATAATTACAATGAGGGTAACGGATGCGCAATCGCAGTAGGTGCCCACAGAGCCCCAAATACCTAAGACCATTCTGACGAAGCTTTAGGTTACATGCTGCACGAGGTAGCGCAGCCTTTCGCTGTCCCCAAAAACAGTTGTTTGATGCTCCACGAAGAGCGAGACCTACGCAACTAAGCTATTGACTATTATGTCCAACTTTGAGTTGACATCGAGCGATCTCTCGAGGGTCGTAGGCAGCAAAAGACATAGAGGCGTCAAAGTCCATCAAGAGTATGAGCAATACAGACACAGTTCAGAAGGATGAATATGATGCGGATGAAGGTGGTACAGGCAGAAAAAGCAATTCTAGTCATGTTGGCCGCACGTCGCGGCGGCCCGCTGTACAAATGTAGTCCTCTCGCCGTGAGGCACATCTAAAGTTACACGTGCATGTGCTCTAAGTTTGGTCCAACCCAAGTGACGAGGGATGCCCGACTCCCTCGCTTTTCTCGGCAGGCTTATCACCCCTGAGTTGATGCGATGGGTCCTCTCATGTATAGAACAAGTTTCGAAAACTTCCACCCCGGATTCGCCTCACATCAGCCCTCGCGTACAGGGGCTTGGAACTGATATAGGGCTAAAGTTACCTTGAATGAGATATTCACCACATACCTACTTTTTGCTTGCCTATACCGCCATTTGTTTACCTGCGTCCAGGAAAGACACTTGCCCAGTCGAACTCAAGAGCTAGGCTGCGTCATCGTCTTACCTTCGGTGGTACCTTCGTCTTTCGCTGGCAAAAAGTATTAAGGCAATGCATGACACACGTTCTGTCTTGTTGGATTGAAGCATAGATCCGTAGATATTCAAGACACGGTCGATGAATTTCGAATAGTGATAAACCCGAGCGTTCATCTTAGATTTTGGGTGGACTACCGAAGGCATCTTCCCAGCTCATATTACCATCATTTGAGACAAAGTCAACGCACTGACGAAAGCACGCACAAGATTCACCGGGAATTTTCAGACGGCAGCACATGTCAACTTGCACGACAAGCGTAGTCCGCGTAAATGTAGTTCAGGGTAGGTAGTTCAGGAAATCGGATGACACCGATGCTGGGCCTATCCCTCGTCTCAGCATCTTTCTCGTTGGCATGACAGTACATATCGGTACTGGCTTGCCGAATGACCACCCTGGACATTGGATGAAACCTATGTAAGATGCTGCCATACAAAAGTCAATTTCCCAACTCAAGGCTACTCCAGACTGGATCTATTATCCTGGATTCGCAAAACCTCATTCCAAGCTCTTGTAAAAGATATCCCGCAAGACAATTAATCGCGATTTTCAAAAATTTCTCAGTTTCTTTTTCCATGACGAACCGAATATTGAAGCTTAAAGCCATGAACCTAGCATGGCTCCGCCCAATCCTGACACACCCCGTGAATCAAGACCCGAGGTCCATTAAGCTTGGTTTTAGAGCTGAGTTTCGCAGGGGATCCGCGGGTGGGCCTACTCTGTGAATGGGCTTACTACCCCGTATTATCCAGAACGGAGTACTCCTTTCGGAGTAAGCGATACTACCTGGCAAAACAGCTGAGGACTTCAGCCAAGATGTTTAGGAGCTGAGACTTTTGCAGATCATAGCCGAGCTGATGGTCAATAGGATCAACTCAAGTACTATAAATGTAGATAGGAGTTGCTCACTTCATAGTTTTTGTCTCAATTCAAACCATCACAACTCAACCGCATTTGTCGTGTGCTTCTTACCTACTTAGATCTTATAATTCCCAATTCAAATCTGCTGCGCAGAAATCTACGATTACATAATTTCCATTCACACCACTTCGACAATGCGTTTCTCGGCCATCATCTTCACCCTCTTCTCCGCCGGCGTCCTCGCTCAAAATGGGTAAGTCCAGGCTTATCATGTTGTTCCTCTTGAGATGAATTCTATTGCTAATCAAGTATTCGAATTAAAGATGCGGCTTTCCGGATGGACCTGATTGCCAATCCCTCGGCAAGGGCGCCAATGGACTGGAGCAATTCGCAGACCCCGATGGCTGCTGCTTGCTACCCCTCCGTTGTGGCAATGGCGATGGCGGCGAGAGATGCGAGCGTGTAAGCGGTGCTAGTGCTGGCGGCGCGACGAACGGCAACAATGGCAACACTGGCAATACTGGTAACACTGGCAATACTGGTAACACTGGCACTGGGAGGAACGGAAGGAACAGAAACAACAACAACAACGCCAACAAGAAGAGGCGCATTTAGGTCCCATAATGAACTGTTTACATGGATATTATACATGCGATGATATACGAAAGTTGGCCACAGATACTTGGTGAATCAAAACATAGAATCAGTGAGATGCTGAGCAATATCAAAGTTCCTCATGGCCTTCTTGCGATGTTACTGAGTGTGCAAATGTCCAGCGGTCTTCTAGAAAATTCTGAGACAAAAGGGATACAGGGCGGCTGCCTTCAATCCATGACTTGAAGATAAGCTCATAGATGGCATTCCCTTCCTCATCGAGATTTAGTTCAAACAGTCAATCAACTAGGAAACGCATGGTACGTAAGCTCAATCAAGCTCCTTACTATCATAGCTGCCCTTATCAGTGTCTCTCTATTTGTCATTGTATCTATGTTCTTTGGAGAATGTATCAGACGATCTAGCGATAGAGGGCATTCAAAGTAGAAAAAATAGTGACAGCGATGGTCTGGTGGAAGCAAAGATGAGGAAGAAAAAGGCGGCAGCCTGTAGGGAAGGAGCGAGAATAAACGAAGTACGGGTGGTGCCTTCCAAGGCAAACATTTCCGTGCCCTCTTTTCACCTCCCTCCCAATGCTCGCAGATTTTTCTTCCCACCCAGCAACCCGTTTAACTTACCTGCCTCCTACCACCCATCTGAGGATCCGGCTCACCTTCTGTTCTCACCTCCCCCACCTTTAGGCCTCATCTCGCAACAGGCCTCACCTCAGAAGAGTCGGTTTAAAGTACTTTCCCAGCTTCAATCCCTCTTCTTTACACATGATGAACGTCGCTTCAATGGACCTCGCGTCGATGGACCTTGCTTCGATGGACCTCGCTTCGATGGATGATGCTTCCATCTCGCGTTTTCTCCGAAGCCACCTGTGGGGACCGATACCTGGTAGCATATCCGGCCCTAACCCGGTGGCCGTGGCTATGAAGCCCGTATTCTCTCGAATGCTGGAGAAATACTTGAGTCGGACAGACTCCCAAGGGTACATCCCACCAATCCAGATACTACTGCACTTGATAGATGACTGAGACTGAACAGAAATCCCGACCCCGCCAACCTAGCCGCCATACCCGTGATGCAAGCATTGCAGGAAGCTTTCTTGAGCCGAGAAGGGCGCTGGTAAATATCACGCCGATTTTCATGGACGTACTTGAAATATTACTGACATCAAAATAGCAAGCCCTCCATGCTAGATCTCGATCAACTCCATCGAAGATTGACGACGTACCCAGCTCATCTCCCGGACAGCGACTACCTCAAAGACCTCGACCAGAAGATCGTCTTGGTGCAACAAATCAATCAGCTGTGTAGAAATTTTCATACGGATGTCTCGATGAAGGAGCTCCACTTAGACAAGGCTTCGTTCTGGTCTACGTTGATGACCATGGACTTGGAGAGATTGAAGGAAGTTCGACGGGACCTGGATGATATGACCAGCGCCAAAGCCAAGAGGCTTCTACTCACCGATTTTCCGGTATGGGCCATGGCAACGCCAATGCTTCTCCGTTCTTGTAAGGTACGCCCCAATCCGCTGCGATCTAGTCTACTAATCCTTTGCTCAGTTATACGAGGGTATGCGAAAGAGCCTTCCAGGAAGTATTCTCCGGCCAAGCAGCTGAGGAACACGTCCGAAATCAAACATGTGAGTCTCAGATGCCCCTCAACAGGTATTGGTGAAAGTAGAGAGGCAGAATTGACAACCTTCACACATAAGGTTCTCCGACACAACAGCAACCGCTGCATCATCACAAAGCTACGAGCCGACGTCTATAATGTGATACACATCATTCCACCTGATCTATTGAGATCGAGAGCTCAGTTAATCAAGTCACTGAAGGGGATGAGATCCTGGTATACAGATGAACGCATTGACGCGCTTCTGAAGAAGCTTACGTCGGAGTCTTGCCACGAAAACATCATCAACACTCGTCGTAACATGATCTGCATGCACCTCCAAATGGGCACGCTCTGGTACATGGGAGAGTTCATGCTGAAACCGATGGGTCGCCCAGTTCAGGTGGTTACTCCAGTTCCGGCAGAAGATCCGACTGAAGATCCTCAAATGAAGACCGGATGGGTCTTGACGTTGATCTTCCATTGGCTTCGGAAGACGGAGTTCCCAAACATGCAGCAAACCATACCTTTCGACACTGATCCCCGCCAGCACTTCGAGGACCTTGATCCCCATGACTTTGGAGCCGTAAATTACAGCACGGCGATGGCGACGATGAAGGCTACAACCCAGAAGACGACTTTGATCAGGAAATAGCTACTACAGCTCGCATGCGGATGCAGATGAAGAGGGACGAATCATTGTCGAACCCACGCCGCCGCAACACACCTTCGGCGGCTGCCGACATACCGTCCCATGTTCCCCAAGATTCGCAACAAGTTGAGGATGCAGCGGTGAGCCTCAATGAAGATGCAAAAGAGGATACGGCCAAGAGCGACAAGATGGTTGACGAGATTCAATCCTCTACTGCCTAGAAGGAGGAGCAGGCCGAATCTTCGCCCCGTAAGCCGAGCATCATCGACACTCTCAACAAGATACGGCACAGAATGGGTGATGTCTTACGAACATTCCAGAAAGTCCTCCTGCGTCGACGAGAGGAGCGGGCGGACAAGAGTGGTTCAAAGTGACCGCTCATCGTACAAAAACTTGTTCTATTGGTCCCCTGCGCCAGCATGCTGGACTCCGTTCTCTACTTTTATTGTCAAGGCAAATCGCAATTTGATTTCTCATTACACGGCTTTTACTTCTTCTGCTCTAGGTACAATTCGTACTCATAACTGGAAAAGAGGAAGGGAGCAACACCCTTGAGGTCGTTCTCGAACAGAGGCATACTGGCATAGTACTAGAAAGAAGGATCAGAACTGAGGGCCATTCAATGTATTCATAGCACGGAATGATACTTTCACATACCTCAAACGTGCCGTTGGAGCTCAAGCTGCCCGTCTGCACAGTCCATCCCCAGACGAGAGCATTATCGCTCTTGCGCGTCTCGGAGAACGTGTCCGTCATCAACTTGTAACCGCTAAGTGCAGACCTGAGATAGCTGTTGCCTTGTATATAGCCCAGGCGAAGACTCTTGAGAAGTCCATACACAAACATGGCGGACCCAGAGCTCTCAATGTAATTTCCCCACTGGCCCTCAGTACCAGGCGTCATGACGAGCCACCACCCCTTCGTCTTCTCATCCTGCGCAGCCACAACGGCGTCCGAGACGTGCTGCAGATACCCAACCAGACGCTCGCGGGCCGGATGGTCCAGGGGGAAAAGCTCAAGAGTGTCGACGAGAGCCATGACGTACCACCCAACAGCGCGTCCCCATACGTTAGGCGAGGCGCCCGTCTCCGGGTCAGCCCAGATGGCCTTCTTACTCCAGTCAAAGCCGTGAAGCGGCAGGCCGTTTGTCGCGTTACCCAGGATCGTACCCGCGGTGACGAGGTCGAACTGCAACGCGATATCGTCCCACGCGGTGGTGTTATCCGGCTCGAACTCGGCGGTCCAGCGGGCGTAGAAGACGTCTAGCATGTAGATGCCGTCGAGCCACATCTGGTCTATGTAGACGGGATAGCGATGGTAGAAGCCGCCGTCCGGGGAGCGGCCTGTGCGTTCGATTTGGTGACGAAGGGTCCTCGCGGCGGTCTTGTAGATTTCGTCGCCGGTGGCGTTGTAGATGTCGAGGAAGGTGTGACCGAAGCGGATATCGTCGATGGAGTTGCTGTTGTTGTAGAGAAGGATCTCGCCGTCTTGGGAAGGGTAGAGGAGGATGTCTGTGGCGTGCTTGACGTAGTCGTAGTATCGCTTGTCACCTGTCCGCTCGTAGGCACGCAGGACACCGGAGTAGAAGGCTGAGATTGTGTAGGCGTAGGTAGGCTCTACGCCGTGCTTGATTTGGGAGTCGGCCATCCATGTGAGGTACCGGGGCCCGCCGTCGAGTTTGCCGGGGTTCAGCTTCTCGTCGGGGGCGATGGCGAACCAGCCGTTGGGGAGGGAGATTGCTGCGGAGGAGAGGGCGGCGCTGGCGAGCGCGGTGGCTGCGAGTGAGGTTATCCTCATGTTGACTACTACTTGACTGTTGCTCAGCTAGAAATTTAAGGCTATCGACGAGTTAATAACTTGGAGGACGAAGATCGAGCCGAATTTTTTTTTTTTTTTGGTATACTATCATGGCGTCCCCCAAGGTTGACTATTTATACAAAAGCCTGTCTCTCAATGAGAACACCACCAAGCTCAAGAGATCTCGTGAAGTTCTGCCATCTTCAAGGTTCCCCTCACTCTAACTCCGTCCAAGATCGGCCAAGAGCTGGCCAATTTGACTAAGTCGTTGTGGTTCCATTCCATCTGCAGCTCTGCTTATCCGATGCGTGAATGTGAGCATAGAGTAGCAGCTTGGAAGCCACTCTTGGCATCTGATCAACCCAAGAAAGCGAGGCATGATGCCAGACCGCGGACCAAAGAAAGTAGGTAGTTGGTTCGAAGCTCTGCAGCTTGACGGAAAAGCAGAGCTCTCTAATATTGCGGGGCCAAGGGGTACCTGCTCAATTCACCTTGAAGATTGCGGGGAGGGTCGGGAGGAGAGACCGGCCGGAGCGGGGAAGCCCAGTAGTCTGCCCTTATGCTTAATTCCACACCAGGGAACCCCCTTACAGGACATTGTCTAAGCAGCCTGGGACTCACTGAATTTCATAGTGATTTCATACGAAATTCGGTTGTCATCTGTATCCATAGATCGAGAACAAGATGCTTACTCTCTAAGTAATCCCCGATCTGTACCTATCTACAAGCTCTTGTACACTCGTGCCTTAGTAAGGCTTCCTCACAATGATCCGTGTGCCGGAGCGGTAGTAGTCAGCCGGGAATATGTCGAATATTTCCTATCGGCTCCTTCCCAGTTGTCCAGGCTACATGCAGGATGTCGTCGTTTCTTTGGAAACTCGGCACTCGTGTTCTCCAAATTGCCGATAAGTTTATACACCAATCAGAAGGACGACTGGTGATGTAGCTGCCCTGGCATATTTAGAATGAGAATCAGAAGAACTCGATTCCTTCGGCGGTCGTTAAACCGGTTGGCCTGCTTCGATGCTTGGCGTTTTCTCCATTGTCAGAAGGCGGTGACGCCTGCTCATGTTGCAGTATCAGCATCGCCATTTTGCCAAGCCCTATCACGCCGTGACTTTTCCGTTCACAAGCCAAGCGCTTTTCCGCACAATCGGAAGGCCGCGATGATCTTTCCCTCCTCTTTTCTTTCTATAATAAGTCGAGTCCCTCTTCTCGATCTGCGCAAGACAGCTGTGAAGCCGCCATTTTGGCATAATTTGTGGCAGCCGGCTGTTGATCTTCCAATTGCATATAAGACAAGGTAGCTAACCACCTTGCAAGTTACCTGGCTTGATACCTCATGCTCACTATTACCCGAAAACTATCTCGTAAGAAGTGACACCAATCATGTGTATAATTGAAGTTGCTTGAAGAAAAACCTCAGCAGTAATTCATCGTCACTTTGTTCTGTTCTTTCAATGTTTCCCTCATCATGGATTATTGTGTTCATGCAGCCGGGAGTCTGGTTTGGCGCAGTTCTCATCAAGCCTGCCGAGCCCGGACCCGTCATCTCCCTCGAATATTATGGAGTGCGATGATAAGGTCAGTCTATCATGCGTACCTCAGGGTAACAAGTAGTTAACATGATAACTTGTTAGCAAATATCGACGGCCTTTCGTATTCTATCGATGTTCTTATTTCCTCTGTTTCTCCAAGGTGCTGTGATATATCAGCCGTGAATTGCTACCAACAGTTGACGGCGTCGTTTCTGCTAGACGAGCATAGCCGCGAGAGAACACGTAAAGAGCTGGTTCGAGACAAAAAAGAAGAAGAAAACAGAGTCTTGATGGTGATAGTAACAGAGATTGAGGTAGTGAGGATGTGTTAAGCAGTGTGTTGTTCCGGTATCCACCTAGATAGATGGGGTGAAGAAAGATTAGTGACGAGGATCATTGATCTTGGAAAAGTACGGAATCAACTCTTCTAACTACACGACATGCACCTCTACGTACATATCTCTCATACATTAGCAAATAGCTCACCATCCATCTTTGTTTATTTACCCATATGCCTCTCACCTCATCATCGTGACCGCGGAAGTTGGCGTGTTTCGATGCCTGGGCGTTGACTCAAAGCCGCTAAATCTTGACTCAATCGTGGATCAGCGGGTCCTTCTGCCCGTCCGATCCAGCGCCGGTGCGAGCGGGACGCTCCATACGAATTTCAACGAAGATTACCGAGAACGGGCAAATCTCAAGCTACGGGATGGGGGTGGGATAAGGGTCCGTCCACCACAAACTTTCTAAAAAGCCTCATTTTCCAACCTCGGAGAGCTCCACCTCACCAATCACGTCAATTATCTTCAACTTCACTCATTCCTCTCTCAACTTTCAACATCCAACCAACGTGAAGCTCAACAACGTTGCTCTAGACACCAGCAGACAGACCACCACCCCATACGAGGTGTACTTTGACTTATCAAGAGACGATATCATCAAACTAAACCAACAGGCATCATCTCTCACCTCAACACACAATGGCGGACTCACGAACAATCCACCAACCAATCCACCCCTCCGTCCGCTCCAAACTCGACCCGGAGTACGTCGCCCTCCACGATTCCATCATCCAGTACATGGAACCCTCCGAGGCCAAGCCCTGGGACCCGACCTCGCGGTCCGCGCCGAACCCGCTCGCGCACACCACGCAGAAGCTCTCGCCCGTCGGCAAGCAGTGGGACGAGGATATCCCCGGCGAGGAGATCCAGGTGCGCGTCTTCGTCCCCGAGGGAAACCAGCCTGAAGGCGGCTGGCCGTGCTTGGTCTGGCTTCACGGCGGCGGGTGGGTGAATGGGGGGTTGGATAGCGAGAATGGCTTCCTGACGCATGTTTGTAAATGTTAGTCATCTCTTTCTCCCCTATTTCCCTCTCCGTATGAGATCTTCATATAGAGATGAAGGTTTTGGAAAACATGACACAATGAGTGTTGATAGAATATCAAAATAGATGTAAAGTGCGTCGTCGTCACGATAAACTACCGCCACGCCCCGGAACACGTCTACCCAGCCGCCGTAGACGACTGCCTCACAGGCCTGAAATGGCTCTACGAACCCTCCAACGCCTCCCGTCTAGGCATCAACACATCCCTCGTCACAATCGGCGGCCTCTCAGCGTTCGTTACCCCTTCCCCCTCCATCCCATCATCCACAAACCATGTGCAACAACACTGACACCCGACTCAGAGGCGGCAACCTCGCCGCAATCCTGACAATGAACCTCACCCTCTCCCCCACCCCCATCTCCCCGCCCCCCGTCTCCCAACTCCTAATCTGCCCCGTGATCGACTCAACCGCAACCCCCTCAACAGGCTGGTCCGCGACCCGCCACGTCCCCTGGCTAACGCCCACCCGCATGGGCTGGTACCAAGACCTCTACTTTTCCCGCGGCGAGCAGGACAAGAAGGAGTGGCGGGCGTCCCCGTGCTTCGCGCCGCGCGAGCTGCTGGCCAAGAGTCCCAGGACGTGGCTCGCTGTCGCGGGGGTGGATCTGTTGACGACGGAGGGGTTGGCGTATGCTCGGCTGTTGAGGGAGAACGGGGTCGAGGTTGAGAGTGCGGTGTATGAGGGGGCGACGCATTCTGTGCTTGTGCTTGCTGGGTATGTATTTTCTTTTCGACAAGTTTGGTTTTTTTTTTTTTTTTTTACTTTGGGTTGATTTTGCTCGCTGCTTGGTTGGGCGAGGGCTGGTATGCTGACTTCTTTATCTTCTAGTGTGCACCAGATTAGCAGGAAACTCGTCCATGACGCGTGTGCTGTCTTGGCAAAGGGCTTCGGGACCTCGTACGATCCTGCGGCGGCTCCTATTCTTTCCCAAGAGGAGTAGACTATGTCCCGAAAGGGTATCAGGGGGAAGAACCGAACGGAACGGCTGGTACTTGAGATGATTCATCAGTCGTGAAGATGTTGTCCTAGACTCGTAGATGGCGGGGTCCTAAAGTACTAATACGGGAAGATGGAGACTAGCACAAAAAGGTAGCAATGAAGAAGCATAAAAGTGGTATTTGTCTTTTAATATCGTAATTACAAACCATGTAACCGTCAATTACTTGAGAAAAGCCGTGAACGATCTCTCGTCAGGTCTGAAAGTACATAGTTGACGTTGAAGACGACCTAGTCTATTTTCCTAGAAAGCGTCTTTGTATATTATGCTTGTGGATGAAGAGAAAAGAGGATGGAGACCGCCTCGAGCAGTCAATGTTCTAGAACATACCCATCAAGACGCCGTAAGAAGTTTCTGCAACTCGGCAAAACGCACCGGCTTGGGCAAAAACACATCAAACCCAGACGTCTCAGCATCCCTCCTCGCATCCGCGCTCGCCAGCCCCGTCAGCGCCACCACCGTCGTGGCCTGCAACCTATGCTCCCTCTCGTACTCGCGTATCCTCTTTGTCGCCTCGAACCCGTTCATGATCGGCATGCTGATATCCATCAAGACAAAATCGAATCTTCGCCGCTTACTCGCGCTCGCCTCAATAGACGAGCTCGACGCCTGGATGAAGCGATCGAGCGCCTCCTGCCCGTTCTCGGCCTGCTCGTACGTGAAGCCGCACTTCTTCATGAACATGACGAGGAGCTTGAGGTTGATCTGGTTGTCGTCTACCAGGAGAACGTGCAGCGTCACGTTCTTCTGTCCCACGAGGACGGGCTGGCCGCCGTTGAGGGCCGGGGAGAGGGCCATAGCGCCCAGGGGTTTGATGAGGGGTTGTACGCCCATGGCGGGTTCGAGTTGTTCTGGTCTAGCTTGCTGATGGAGTGGGGTGCCGACCCGTTCGACTTGGCGGATCTCGTTGGTGCCGGGGGTGGTGCCGTCGGGGGCGAGCGGTATCGGGGCCAGCAGCCCGGATGAGTTGCGTGCCGTTGCTTGGGTCCTCTCCAGCTCTTCTACCCGCTTGAGACAGTGGCTAAATACTTTGGCCAGTTTTCGCGGGCCGCATCTGCATTCATTAGTTAGCCATCGACA